GCACCCGGACTTCTGTGACGGGGCAAGCTGCTTTTACATTTAGATAAGGGGGTGGGGGGGACAGAGGGGGAGGAAGAGGGGGGGTGGGGGGGGGGGCGGGGGGGTGGGCAGCCAGGTCAGGTGGATATCTCAGAAGGGTCCACGGTGGCCGAGTTGCATTAGACAACACCCTTGGGACTTGCCACGAGGATGGGCACAGATTACAGGGCAGGCTTCAGGTGCCAGCTGGGGGCAAGGGGGGTGCCCTCCCCCCCCCACAAGTGGCAAAAGAACAAAGTAATCCCAAGGACTTACTGGGTGGGGGGGAGGAACCCACGTGCTTCAGGGCTTCTAGTTCCAGCAAGTCTGTGCTTCAAGAAAGGTGAAACCAAGTTTGGGCCATATGTGAAATGGGAACATGGGTGCAAGGTGGCTCCAAAGGGCCCATCACAGGGGTGGGGTTGTAAGTAGGAGGGTTGCACAGGCTATTGTACTTCTTTATACCCTCTCTCCCGCCAAACCTGCTTAGAAAGCCACTTAAAAGTCACGGCATATAAAGAGCTGTAGTGTTCCCCACTGCTGGCACCTTCCTGTTTCCCGTCTTGTTAAGAGAAGTCGCGTCTACTCCCTAAGGAGGTGCCCTTTGCAGCTAAGGCTGTTCTGGAGAAGATGCAGACATTGGCTGAGGGGGCAACACACTGTGTTCGGACCTCGGGAGCAGGTTTGGCAAATACCACCCGATCTAAATTGCATTCTGGATTCAGGCTAGTCGGGCAGGGAGGGGGGTGAATTTTGGCTGGCACCGAAGAAGTCAGGTTGCTTTGTGTGGATGGGTGAGAAGGTCGGAACAGCAGACTGGTACCCTGGTGGCAGCTGGCAATTTATGGGGGAGGGGGGTGCAGAATTGGAAGGTTGTCTGAATAAATGTTGGAATCAAAAAAATAGGAAGACAGGGTCTGGGGGCCTTGAAGGAGGCAAGCTTGGCACTTAAGAGTTGGCACAGGCTCTGGCAGATAACAATATAGGCAAGGAGGATCGCTCCCCTGCTGCTCATCCCCAGCATTTTGAGGCCAGGTTGGCCAACAGAGAAGGGCTGGCAGGCAGGCAGGTGGGGGCAGAGGGTTGGCTGGCTGGCTGGCTGGCTGGCTGGCACTCTGGGGGCCAGCCTGCTGGCGGGCAAGTTGGCACAGCATACCGCAATACAGCGTGATGTGAATTCATTAGAGGCCAGAGCGAGAGAGCGAGACAGGAAAAGAAGGGAAGGGGGGGGGGGGGGGGGGAATGGGAGACGGGCACTGACCCAAAGGCCAGACAATGGCAGCAGGTAACCATGGTAATGTGCCCGGCTGTGCCAGCCTATGTGCTGAAGTGGGAAGAAAATGATCCAGACAACCCTGGGGAATTGCCCACCCACAATGGTATAGGGTGTGGAAGAGAGGTGGGCTATTGTCTCTTTCCCCTACGTTCCTACTGTCTACAGTTTTGAAATGTGTAAGTGGTGCCAAGATGCCTTCTCCTTGTCTCTCCCTTCTACTCCCATATGCCACTTCTGCTTCCTTGGCGATTTCACCCTCCTTTTCCCAGATCTGGCTAACCTTCTCATTCCTTCATTACTCTCTGATGCTGTTGAGCTCACCCAGATTCTCCTTGCCCCCCCCCCAACCCTGCAGAGAGGCCCCCTTTCTTTCCAGCCAGCCTGCATCCATATTGCATTCTCCTCTTCATCCCCGGACTCGCTGGTGATGCAGCAGCGCCTGAGGGAGGGAGGCAGGGAGGTGGCACAGTGCCCAGATCTCAGTATTCCTCTGCTTGCACGTCCCTGTCTCCTTGCCATTGTCTCCCTCAGTCTTTTGCTCCTTGCACCACACTGCATCTCACCCTCCAGGCCACCATTACGGCTGTCTGCCTTCTTCTCCCACCTTGCCAGGGTTGGTGGCTCCAGTGGTTGAGCACACGGTGCCCAGAGAATAGCCATTCTACTATTTTGGTTCCCTGCCTCCCCCAGTGCAGCCCAGCTCAGAGGAGGACCCCTTTCCCAATCTATAGCTTTACTACCCCATCTTAACTCTCTGTTAAAATCTTCACCATTGAAAGGTGGAAGTAGGGAGGCAGAGAGAAGGAAAGGTATGTCTCGCTCTTATTTCTCTCATTCCTATCTTTGCTTTTCCTTTGCAAAAAATCATGTGGTTATTGAACTAAGCTGTTTTCTGGGTTAGCACAATAATTGAGTCATAAACTTGACCAAATGTGCTGGATTTGTGCCACATGCTAAGCCATTACAAACCACGGTTAAACTAACCAAGTTTAACGTGTGAATGCAGTCATCACGTCTTTAACAAAGCAGGTTAATAATGTGCAAGTACACAACTGTCTGCTCATTGATCTCACTTCAGTCCTTTCTGCATTTATGATCTGAAAGCCTTTATGATTCTTCAAATTACCCTATTTTGGGCACATTATGTGAAGACCCAGGTTTTTTAAGTCCACAATGCTGAGAAAAGCAGAAGGAAAGAGAAAAAGACTATCATCAGCAAAGTGGATGGAGTTGGTTACAGCAGTGATGGGTACACTCTTGGAAGACCTGAAAGGGACAGATCATTCTGGAAAAGGCCTGTCTTTGTGGTTTGCTAAGAGTCAATTCCAACTCCTAGGTAGAAGAATTCTTGGCTGTTATGGGAGAGCAAGGGCAGTGCTGAAATTGTGG